GCGTTCCTCACAATGTTCCCCCGCATCTTATGACCCCTCATCCGCCCTCCCCCCCCCCCCGTGCGCACCCCTTTTCCTCCCTCTTCCACGCCTTGCAATTACCACCTTCTGACCAAGCCTCCTCTGGCCCCTTAATCTGCAAACACCCCATTCCACAACCCCCAACCCCCTACATCTACCCACTGCAACCAATCCCAATCCACCCCCGTAAGCACCCCACCCCCACTCCACTACACCCACCCAACCGAAAAAATATATTGCAACCAACCCCCATGCATCCTATCCCCGCCCTTGCAACACCGCGCAACAGACCACTTGCGGCAACAAATCCTATCCCCCACCCCTAGTCCCTATCCTTCAACCTCCCCCTTCCCTCCCTCCCTCCTGCAAGCTCGCAGTGCATCCGCTGTAACACAGACACGCGCGTTGCAGGCTCACTCCCAAGGGTAGGTGTGCAGTTGCAATGGACGCACTTGAGGGCCTTTGCAACGGACAGGCCATCGCCGAGCGCCAGGCGAGCAGACGGCCTGACACGCGCCCTCTATCACGGGCGCCCTTAATCAAGCTCCGGCCCACATAATTGCAACGTCCCTCTGCAACATCGCTCCATCACCCAGCTCTGGACTACATAATTGCAACGTTCCCTGCAACATCACTTCATCACCCAGGCTGCAACCTCTCAGCCACACGCCCACACACACGGGTCCGCCCACCAGCACCGCCTCCTGTCTCGTGTCGTGAATGAGTTAGAAAAACGTGCTGTGAGTCAGTGTGTTAATGAAGAGTCACTGGGCGTCGTGAGTCACCGTAAAGGGATGAGTCAACAGGTTGCGGCGTGAGTCTTTGAAAAAATGAGTCAGAGCTAGTGTTATGAGTCAAACAAGCGATGCAAAACTTGGCGGCCTGAGTCAAGGTGAATCGATGAGTCAAAGACTAATGTTTTGAGTAAATCTGAAAAAAATGAGACAGTGATACTAATGCGACTCAACGTGAAGACATGAGTAAGACGATATTTCACGAATCAATGCAAAACGATGAGTCAAAAGGTAGTGTTGTGAGTCAGTGGTAAGTGATGAATCGTGAGTCAATATAAAACGCGTCAAGCGACACTAATATAAGTCGACGTGAAGCGATGACTCAACACTCATCGCACAACTGCACATCGTGACTCACTGAAGCACATGGCCTATGTATCTTAACACGCTTATAAGATTACCTGCATGCTATTAATACATTCATATCTATCCAAATACATCTGTGGGTAAATCCTAAGCAAATTCCAGAAAGTAAATTAATAGGGAAAGGGCTTTCTGAGAGAGAGAAAATGGGTAATTAAGAGTATAAAAAGGAAAAAATCACCAACTAACCTGATACAAGCTCAAAAGAATATGATTTCGAATTTACGCGCGGGGATACGGCGATGGGAAGAGGCTTGCGATTCCCTGCAAACACACGAACAAAACCTACACAAACGGCTGGAAGAAAATGGAGGTGGAAAGCGACGTGCGATCTCTAACCAACAGAAAACACAAGGGGCGAATAACGTTGCATGAAGAGAGAGAACGCGCGGATCACCGAATCGAAAAGCGGACTTTCTTGCGCTTAATCGAATAACACATAAAACTGACAGAAATCCCCGGAAGTCACGACTGGGGGGATTTCTACACACAGATTTCTACACGCGACAGGTAGGTCATCAACCCTTTACGACTCAAAAGGAGCAGACACGCCAGTGACAACAACAGCAATTAATCTCTGAGTGAGTCATCTGGGAGATCCGCGCGGCGTCCTGAGTCAACTGCAACGAGAAGGTGAGTCATGTGAGTCAGTGTTCGGCGTCACCCGACTCTACCGACGACTAAGAAAAAAATTGACTCGCACCTGTTGTTCGCGAGTCCGAGTTCCTTCCACCCTGCCCCTCTCCCCCTCTCACCCCTCCCGTCCCCACCCTCACAATCGGCGGCGGTGAGGTAATGAGATCCTCAATGAGGCGTTCTCACTCGGCTCCTCCTCATCCTCCTCTTCTTCCTCTTCCTCTTCCTCCTCATCCTCCTCCTTCTTCTGCTTCTCCTTTCTCTTCCTTCACGCAAGCAAGAAACTCACGCGTAATGCTGTTGTGAGAGCAAACACGAGACGAGATATCGAGACAAGCTAAGATACCAGCGGTTCTTCCTCGTCGACGATAAGCGGTTTCATTTCTTGTTTTACTCAATCTTCCCCCTTCCCCTTCCCCATCTCTTAATCAACCCTCATTTTCATTTCTTTCTTTCCATTTTTTCTTCATTCCTTCATCTGCTGTTTCTCTTTTTCCTTAACGTTCGCGTTTGTCTTCCTCTTCCCCCTTCTCTTCTTCTTCTTCTTCTTCTTCTTCTTCTTCTTCTTCTTCTTCTTCTTCTTCTTCTTCTTCTTCTTCTTCTTCTTCTTCTTCTCCTTCTTCTTCTCCTCCTCCCCACCACCTCCACCTCCACCTCCACCTCCACCTCCACCTCCACCTCACATCTCCATCTCCACCTCCACCTCCATTTTTGCTCGTCATGTTCTAACCCATTTGAGCGCGACCTGTGAGAAGCTCCAGACTTTTCACATCTCACCAACGAAACCATCAGATCTCGTACCTAACAGCGTCAAAAACAATGATACCGAAACAAAACAAAAAAATAACAATGCATACAAAATATTGCAATGATCTTACAATTCCCCTTCCCGCTTTTTTAAGAACACGAATATCCATCTCAGAAATGCAGTTCATGACATTTCTGGACATTTCTTCTCGACCGACATTTCTCACGAATCGGACACGCCCGCCACGGAAATAAAGAGGTTCTCCACGGCCTTCGAAAGGTGCTATAAACACACACACACACACACACACACACACACACACACACACACACACACACACACCACACACAACACACACACACACACACACACACACACACACACACACAACTATAAACACACACACACACACACACACACACACACGCACACACACACACACACACACACACACACACACACACACACACACACACACACACAATAAACACACACACACATACTATAAACACACACACACACACACACACACAACATACTATAACACACACACACACACACACACACACACACACACCACATACTATAAACACACACACACACACACACACACCACACACACACCAAACACACACACACACACACACACACAACACACACACCACACACACACACACACATACTATACACACACACACACACACACACACACACACACACACACACACACACACACACATATTGCATGCAGAAACTGTTGTTGCTAAAGTCAGAATTTCTCAATCATAACCATTGAAAAACAATGCATTTGCTTTACTTTTTTCCATTGAAGAAGCAGAAAAGAGAAAATATGGATATAATTTTTATAACCGTGTCACAGCAATGGAAAAGTTGCATTATTGATCTACATATCGCTTATATTTGTCATAATAATGGAAAACACACCGATTAACGAAATAAAAAAAAACTGGATTGCCAAAATGTATTTCCTTATTTCGCTCTCACCAAAAGATCTCCCCCGCACGAAACAAGCAAACAAGTCAGGAAGGAAGGAATCAAGTACTCTGGAATTGCGTGGAGCCTCGTCGACGACTTTCGACTCACGAGGCAGTGGCCACGGCGGGAGCGGTGGGAGGCGGCCGCCGCTCGCCGGCTCTTCATTAGCGAAACCGATACCTGCTGCGGTGACCGTGACATGTGACGTCATGCGGAGGCAAGAGAATGCTAAAGAAATAAGCACACTGAAATCGCATAAATGTTGGGGTGCTTGCGGAAACACAAATGCAGACATACACGTACTCAGTCACTCCCACTCAATTACTTACACTGTCTATCTGTCCGTCTCTCTGTTTGTCCCTCCTTCCTTCTCCCTCCTCCTCCCCTCCCTCACCCTTATCCACACACATACACTCACACACGGGCATCTGTTGCATTTGTCATGATGGAGTAATTATCATAAGACATAAACATAACCTAATAGGGACATCACACTTAAGAGAGTACTATGAAGGACGTAGTTCAACATAATAGTGTAGACCCACACTGTATAACACTGCCACCGTATGGATATAAGAAAATTATTTTTGCTAATATACACAGCAGTTTCGCAGATATGGAACACTGTAATCTTGTTGATTAATCCAAATATTCGCCATTTCGGTTGCAAACTGAATTGCCAAAGGGTTACAGTTCGTTGCGCAATTTTCGATACAAACAGCATTGTCCTGTCAAGTGATTATAACCCACTGCCCCATCCATTTGTGCGCAACAAAGGGGATTTCGTGGAGGCATTTATCGAAATATTGCCACAGTTACCGTGGATTTAACAATGCTCCACGAAAAAAGGAAAATAAAAAAAAAAAAAATGTCACGGGTTCACCACGCTCTGTCCCCCGAAAGCCTCCCCACGACGGCACTGAGCTTGGCACCTTGATTCCTGCCGCTTTTCAACGCCGTGGGTGTCTTACCCCTCCTCCTATCCCCTCTCACACCTCCCCGCGTCCGGCCTCCATTTCGATCTCGATTCCTGGCGCATTTCCAGAGCAAGGGCGCAGCGGCGGGGCCCTTCACCGCGGCGCATTCCAGCACGGGGCGTAGTTTTACCGTAGAAGCAGGAGTCAAGGTGGTGGCGGGGCTACTCTACCTGCCCCCCCCCCCCACCCCACACACAAATACAATCATAGACATAGACCAAGTGACACACACACACAGTGGTATACACAGCATGCCCTTCAATTCGCAGGCCGCCCGTGTGGCCCTATTTTCACGCTCACTTCCTCCGCCACCCGTGAATGAGCGCTGGAAAGTAGCGCGCAGCTCACACTCCATGCTTTTTCCATCACGTTTTATTTACAGGCTAATTGTCGGCGGGCCAGCACGGGCGGCGGCCGATTTCACTGCCTTCCTGAGGGAGGCGTTGACACGGAACACTTCCTCACCATGAGTTGCGGAGGTGCGCCCTCATCCTCGCCGCACCTGGGTCCTTCTGCACCGCGCCACCCGCGTCCCTCCCCTCAGCGCGACAGGATGAGGGCAGGGGCGAGTGTGTATCCTGAGGGTGCGTCGGCTCGCCCCTCGTCCAGGCAGAGGGGCTGCGGTGTCCTGGCTAGGCCTCGACGGCAACAGACGCAGCCAGGGGGCGAGGGGGCCTTCAACCCCTCCCTCCGGCGACGAACCCCCACCTTTCCGACCGTCCACGGGGAAAGGAGAGAGGGCGAGAGAGGTTCCTCCTCTGGCTCGCGGCTGCACCATATGTGCCTGTCAGCCCTCTTTGTCTAAGCACACGCTTATCTTGCAACACTTCTCAAAGCACAAAACAGAGGCTGTCCAGCCCTGCCGTTAACACTGCCTTGCACGCCACATACACCTAGCGGAGAGAGCGCCGCGCTGCATCCGCCCACCACCACGGTTAGTCTCACACTGAGCTGGCTGGGCCCCGCCGGCAGCCGCCGCTACAATAACAAACCCGCACACATGTGCCGCCACACTGCGCTACGGTTGACAACTTCACCTTTCCAAACAATTTGTCCAGAAAGTGTAACAGGCCCTTGGATAGCGGGAAATCCATCTCCTGCTCGCGAGGACCTCCCGGCCGTCCGCGGCCCCCTCACGCACGCATCAAAAATCAATCCCGAAACCTTCCACGAACGTGGCGCTGCCGGGGAGGCCGTGAGCGGACGCCGTGCCAACGGACGAGTGCGCGACACACATAGAAAGCTGATTGTTTGGGCAGATTTGTTTGCCGGTTTGTCGGCCTCCTCGCCGGTCCTCGGGACACCGCCGCGAGTGTGTCGGAACCGCCGCCGAAGTGTTCTGCGGCGACGGCATTACGCTACGTCCCTTCCACTTTTCTTTGGATGTGGTGGTTTTCTACTACAACTGATTGCAAGGGGAAGAACGCGAGGAGTGATTTACGAGAGCACCTACCACTAGCCATGACTGATTTATACATATCATAGGCATACATACGTGCTTACGTATATTCACACATACATATATACATGCATACATGGGTGCTCACATACACAAACACAAGCACACAACACCAACACTTCCAAACGCCGTAAACAAAGATAACCAATGCTATCGGCCGTACCTATCGGAGCACACCATCAATCCTTGCCTTCCAACCACATGCCGCCGCACGCCATCCCCTTCCAACCGCCAACACAAACCCCCTTCCCAACGGCGGCGGAACAGCAGGGCGCGCGAGTGTGAAATAGCTCGGAGATCGAGACGTCGCTCGCCCTCGCCCGGAAGGCCATCGGCGCCCAGGGGTACAGGGGAAACGCCCCCGATGGACGCATATGGCACCTGGGGGAGGGAGGGAAGAAGAAGGGGAGGGAGAAGAGAACGGGGAAAATGGAGGAGAGGGAGAAGAAGGGGGTGAAAATGAATATGTGTGTGGTGAAAAATGAAAAAAGAGAGAGGAGGAAATATTGAATCGGAGGAGAACGATGTGGAGGGGAAAGAAGAGGAAACTGAAGAGGAAGAATACAAGGGAGTAGACACATAATGCGGGGGAGAAGGGGAGAAGGGAGACACACCCCGCCCTCGTCGCCACGCCACGCGCCCCCCCTCCTCGCCCGCGCCTCCAACGACCCCTCAGAAACCCTTTCATACGCCCACGTAACGCCCGCCTCGCAGGGTGGGCTGATAACACGCGGTGGCTCGCTAAGGGCGGGGAGGCAACTCGACACCACAGGCGCACCATTCCCCCCCCCAGCCCCCACACCAACTCTTTTCCCGTCTGCCCCTCCCCTTTCTCCACTCCTCTCCCCTCTTCCCCAACTCTCCCCCTCTTCACCAAGTGTTTCTTCCTCGCCCTCTCCCTATCCTCACTCCCTAATTCCTCTCCCTCCTTCTCACTTACCCAATTCCCTCCCTCCTCCCTTTCCTAACCCCCTCCCCTTCTCCCTCCCCCACCTCCCCAGAGTCGCCATGAGCATCACCACGTGCTGGGCGATCGGAGTGGGAGGTGGGCATTCCTTCGCCAGGACTTTCAATTTACGCTTTAATTACTTTATTTTTGCAATTCTCTCCACTTCTCGTTCAACCTTTTCTCGCCCTTTTCATCCTCTTCGTCTGCCTGTGCTCTCTCTCTCTTTCTCTCTCTTTCCCTCTCTCTCTCTCTTATTCTCATTCGTGTTGCCATTTTCATTCTTAATCCCCATTCTCTCATTCTCGTACTCTCTCTCGCTCTCACTCAGATGCTCATTTTCTCTCTCTTAAAATGCTGTGCTTTCTCTTCCTCTTTGCCTTAATCTCTCCATTTCTTTCTTTTCTCTCTCTCTCTCTCTCTCTCTCTCTCTCTNTCATTTTCTTCTTCTTAAAATGCTGTGCTTCTCTCCTCTTGGCTATAATCTCCATTTTCTTTCTTTCTCTCTCTTCTCTCTCTCATCTCTCTCTCTCTCTCTCTCTCTTCTCTCTCTCTCTCTCTCTCTCTCTCTCCTCTCTCTCTCTCTCTCTCTCTCTCTTTTTTTACATATCATTTTTTCTCACGTTTATTCTTTCCTCCGTTTCTTCGTATATCCGTTCGTTCTCAACTCCGCCCTTCCCCCCCCCCCCGCCCGCTCCTTTCCGTTTCCGCCTGTTCTCTGTTTGCTGCTCTCTGTTCGCCAACGGTTTCCTCCCCTGTGGCAACAGGGAAGAGGAGGCCGCACCTGCCCTTTGTAAGGTGCACTGGCGAACACACCTGAGGGAGCTGGCGTGCGACTCCTCCTTTCTCTTTTCTCTTCCTCTTCTCCTTCACTTTCTTCTTCTCATATTTCTTTCTTTTCTTGTGATAATCTCCTTTCTCGTCTCTCCTCTTCTCGTTTCTTTATTTATTCTTCTTTTTCTTTTCTTTTTTGTCTTCTCTTTTCATTTGCACTCGCCGTCTCTCTTTTCTCTTCTTCTTCCTCTTATTTTCTGTTGCTTTTTTCTCTGGTCTTCTCTCCTCTTCTTTTTTTTGTTTACCTTCTCTTCTCTTTTATATTGTTACTCTGGTTTTCTTCTTCTTTACTCTCTTTTTCCTCTTCTCTTTTGTCTTCTTCCTCTTTTCTTCAGATTTACTCTTTTTTCTCTTCTTTCATTTCCTCTGTTTCTTCTCTCCTCTTCTTCCTGCTTTCCCATTTCTTAAACCTCTACCTTCCTTTCTTTTTTCCTTGTCCTTACTATTCCCTTTTCCCCTTTCCTTTCCCCGTTTTTCTTTTGTATTCTCTCTACCTAATCTATCCATTCTTTCCTTTTATTTAAATATTTTATCATTATAATTATCCTCATTTAATTTTCCTCTGCCCCCTCTATCTATTTTTACAGATATTATCAACTCGTTTTCTTTATATATGGACAATAACATCCCTCTCTGCCTCCTCCTTGTTCTCTTCTTCATCCTCCCTAGTACGAAGGATAGATTTTTCTCATCTCTCTATCTCTTCGTCACATTCCTTCTCTCCCTTCCTCCCTTCCTTTCTCTCCCTCTCTCCCTTTCCTTCCTCCCTCCCTCCCTCTCTCCCTTTCCGTCTCTCCCTCTCTCCCCCCTCTCTCTCTGGCGTCGAGCCTCCCAGGCCGCAGCTCCAACAGCCTCGTACTGGATAAAGAATGTGCCGAGGGAGTGTTGCGGCGAAGGGACGCGCTGCTTCGAGCGGAGGCCCAACCCCGGCCGATGTACAGCTGTGCAACCGCGGTATGTGTCTCCGCGCCCCATGCCCAGCCCGTGCCTCCCTGTGTCTAAATAGGTCGAAAGTCTAGAAGACATTTGAAAGGGAGGAAGAGGGAATGAGGGAGGAAGGAGGGGAGAGGGAGAGGGATAGGGAGTGGGAGATGGAGTGGGAGATGGAGTGGGAGATGGAGTGGGAGATGGAAGTGGGGAGGAGGAGGAGAGGGGAGGAGGAGGAGGAGGAGGANTATGCGGTTGCCTACTACGGCTGCCTACTACTAACGGCTGCTGCTGGCTGCTACGCGCTGCTGTTGCTGTTCACGGCTGCTGCATATGCTGCTACGAGCGCTGCTGCTGGCTGCCTGCATGCTACTGCGGCATGCTGCTACTCGCGCGCTGCTGCGTACTACTGCGGTTGCTACTAACGGCTGGCTACTACTACGGCTGCTGCTGGCCTGCACGGCTGCTGCTGCTGCTACGGCTGCTGCAACTGCTGCCTACCGGCTGCTGCTCGCGCTACGGCTGCTGCTGTACTGGCGGCTGCTGCTACTGCGGCTTGCTGCTAATCTGCGGCTAGCTGCTACTGCGGCGCCTGCTACTTAGCGGCTGCTGCTACTGCGGCTGCTACGACTGCGGCTGCTGGCGACTGCGCTGCTGGCTACTGCGGGCTGCTGCTACTATTGCGGTTGCTGCTACTAACTGCGGCTGCTGCTACTGCGGCTGCTGCTACTGCGGCTGCTGCTACTACGGCTGCTACTACTCACGGCTGCTGCTGCTTTTGCTACGGCTGCTGCTGCTGCTACGGCTGCTGCTGCTGCTACGAGCTGCTGCTGCTACTACGGCTGCTGCTACTGCGGCTGCTGCTACTACTGCGGGCTGCTGTACTGCGGCTGCTACGACTTGCGGCTGCTGCTAACTGCGGCTGCCTGGCTTACCTGCGGCTGCTGCTACTGCGGCTGCTGCTACGCGGCGCTGCTACTCGCGGCTGCTTGCTACTATGCGGCTGCTACGATAGCGCTGCCTGCTACTGCGCTGCTGCTACTGGGCTGCTGCTACTGCGGCTGCTTGCTACTGCGGCCTGCTGCTACTGGCGGCTGCTGCTACGCGGCTGCTAGACTGCGCGCTGCTGCTAACTGCGGCTGCTGCTAACTGCGGCTGCTGCTGCTAAACTGCGGCTGCACGACTGGCTGCTGCTACTAGGCTGCTACTACTACGGCTGCTGCTGCTGCTTACGGCTTTGCTGCTGCTGCTACGGCTGCTTGCAACTGCTGCTACGGCTGCTGGGCAACTGCTGCTAACGGCTGCTGCAACTGCTGCTCACCGGCTGCTGCCTGCTGCTTACGGCTGCTGCTGCTACTGCGGCTGCTGCTACTGCGGCTGCTGAATACTGCGGCTGCTGCTACTGGCGGCTGCTGCTACTCTGCGACTGCTACTACTACGGCTGCACTTACTACGGCTGCTGTGTTGCTTACGGCTGCTACTGCGGCTGCTGCTACTGCGGCTGCTGCTAAACTGCGGCTGCTGCTACTCACTGCGGCTGCTGCTACTTGCGGCTGCGCTACTGCGGCGTGCCTGCTACTGCGCTTGCTGCTGTTGGTAACAAATGGAGACTTGGATATAATAATGATCTTGATAATTATTAGATATACCTGGCATTATCATTTGTAATAAAATTAATTCCTATTATCAGTTATTATTAAAACTACTTTCCAGATATGACCTATGCACAAATTCTCGTCTATATTCTTATAAGTGCATAAAACATCTATATGATGATGATAATGGATAA